AGAGAGATCGTACATGAGGAGAAAAACATCATTATTATGATTTGTATGGTGCTGAGAGAATGGTTATACTAAACAGACTTGCTTTTCTCCCAAACATAAGGCGTCCTTTAACTTTTCTAATGGGATTTTTGACAATGTTACAATGCAATGTAATTCGAGAAAACTATATTATAATATCTTTTTTTTAATGCAAAAAAACAGAAACAAAACCCATCTTTTTCATCCGTGTCATTCAAACTTGTAGTGCTGCAACCAGGATATATTATATTTTTCTCACCACCGTCGGGGCTAGCAATGAACCTTACGAAAACCTACGTTCTCTTAGCTCCAGATCCAATTCAAACAAGATTCGTATATTTTGTGTTTAGCTGTAGCGTACCTTGCTAACACACATCTTTGCGGTCAAAAGAAGAATGTGATAAGCTATGTTTAACTGAGCCTCTGTACTGTTTCATCTTGCCCTCGTTCACTGAAACCAAGGAGTATGTTCCAGTCAGTCATGGGAAAACCAGAGGACGTTTTGAGACAAATAGTATGAAATACGTTGTGCCCGAAGTTTTTTTTAACAAGGAACAATGAATAAATATAATAATTGCACTTATATAGCGCATGTCCATGCTCAAGAGCGTGCTCTATGCGCTTCACAACTATTATTACCCCAGCAGACCCTCTGAGAACACTCAGAAACATTCTCGGCTTCCACGGAAGCATACAGAATATTATGCTCAATAACGTCTTTGACACTACAGTGCTCACATAGTTCAGAATTTTTTAATGCCTAGGCGATTGAGTAGAATGTTATTTAGGACGATGTTAGGGAGGGTTTTAAAATGCAATGATCTAAGTCGAGATTCTTCCGTTGACTTGTGTGCTATGTTGTATTTACATGATTGTTATGTCAATTTTCTTTTTTCTCATTCAAAAATTATACATGTCTTTGGTATTTTAAAAGTTGTCTGATCTCTCTGATCGGTTTGCTCAATATCTCTAGAACCGTTTTTTTAACATTCGTATTTGTTTCCCTGGTGTTCAACAGAAGTTCCCCAGTGTTGTTGTCGCCGACGTCTTGCTTCCACTGTGTAGAAAGAGCATTCATCGACGCATAATAGTCAAAATCAAAGGCACCATAATATGGCCCAGTGATATGAAATAGTTCCTCCGTATTATTTAATCTTCTCCCATGATTCAGGCGATACACAATCATATTTTATACCCGAGTTCATCTATCTTTTTAGATACAATTATTTCCCTTTCTAATTTCTGTTTCCTTTATTGAACAAAGGTTCCCTTAGTATCTCAGTCGTGAAACTTTTGGGGTTTTTTAAGATAAGGGGCCATTTCGATCCATGTATCCACCACACTCTCCCAGAACGTTGAGACATGACACACAGTTTTCCTGTTAGCTTACAGTTTGCTGTTGCCGAAAAATAAAAGTAATCACACCCTCCTACCTCCGTAAATGCTCAATCCGATATTATTCTGTTAGGGATGTTGTTGGGTCTGTCATCAGTATCAGTTGCCATACGTTTTAACCAATTTAATAGAAACACGTTTTGTTGATTTTGACACTTAGTATACATTCAACCTCCTTCCTCAGTCGATGTGCATATTACCATTCTTTTTACTTTCTCTCGTGCTTTCTTATTTGAGTGCCTCTTCTGCCACAAGAACAATGTATCAAATTGTGAGGCAGCGTGGTGAGGTCAGGCGCTCGTCAAAATAATCAAAGCGAAGAAACTTGCATTTTTCCGCAGGTTTGTGAATTTTTTTTTTTTTGGCTAAACACCTTTCATGCCCGTTAAAGAACTCATTTATGTGAGGATTTTTCTGAAAAACGTTGATTAAAGGCTCAAAAATTTTTAATTTTCAGTTACCACGGACTCTTAAGCTAAGGAAATAACTAATCTTTGGCGGCCATTTTCTCACTAATTTTACCTCTGAAAACAGGTGACCCCC